CTGTTTCTGTCGCTGTGGCTCTCTCTCTCTGCATCTCATCCACCCCCCAGTCCCAGATGCTCTCTCTTCACATCCCCTCCCCTCTCCCCTAGTCGCTGACTCTTGGCTGGAGTGGGCAGGGCTTGACCACGTCCTCATAATTGAAATTTTTGGCCTCCAAAGCAGGGTGGTGCTTCCCTAAGTCAAAGGGACAGATTCAAGCTGAGGCTTCTGCTAGGGCAGAAGGAGGCTTGAGAAGTGTCCTGGATGCCCAAGCCAGTGACCAGGAAAAGACTCACCTTTCCCAAATGGCCTTGTAATGAGACAGACTCAAGGCCACTGATTGATCCCCAATGTCCTGCCCCAGTTCTGTTGCCTTCCTTCTTGCCCTTCCTTATGGCATTCCTCATTGACCAGCTGGTATCCTCCAGGACTTGCAGACTCTTCCCAGAGGGAGGAAGTCCTTCATCAATAAAATGGGTTTTAAAATACTGGAGGCAAGGCAGAAGCTTCTGAGGCATGCTTAGTCCCTGCTCCACCTTCAAAAGCCCTAGTTTGTGCCTGTGGCATCCTGGCCCCTTGTAGAATCCCCTTCATTGGACTGTGTCTTAGTCGATTTCCGTTGCTGTAACAGAATATCACAGACTGGGTAATTTATAAAGAAAAGGACTTTATTTCACTCACGGTTCTGGAGGCTGGGAAGTGCAAAAACATAACACCAGCGTCTGGTGATGAGCACCTTGCCGCATCATAACATGGCAGCAAACGTCACACAGTGAGAACTGGTGTGCATGTTAGCTCAGGCCTTCCTTGTCTTCTCCTTGCCACCACTTCCGGTCATAAGGGCCCACATTGATCATCTTATCTAATCCCAGTTACCTCCCAAAGGCCCCACTACCAATCAACACGTGGATTTGGGGATTCAGTTTCCAACACATGAAATCTGAGGGACACATTCTAACCACAGCAAGCTGCACTGGGTGCTGGGCACCAGGTTTTGCTAAGATGGCTACAGAAACAGTCCTTCAAAAATCCATATGCCTGCGAAGAAGGCTGCCGCTGGAGGAAAGGGCGTCACATCACCCCCATCCCCTTCTGAGTCTCCAGGGAGGAATTCCCTTTCGAACCCAGTCCCAGGACAGGCTCTGCTTTCCCTAAGATGCCTCTTTTTGATTATGAAACTCATATAGCAAGATCACATTTCCTTTCTTCTTTTAGCAGCCAGCTCTGAAGCTCGGCCATGGCAATTATGTGGCCCCTTGTGATCTGAAACATTTATTTTCTTTTTTTCTGTGGTCTTTGCTCTCTCACTCTGTTTATACCCTCTCTCATCCTGATTCTCTATCTATTTTATCAGCATTTTCTTTTTTTTTTTTTGAGACGGAGTTTCGCTCTTGTTACCCAGGCTGGAGTGCAATGGCGCGATCTCGGCTCACCGCAACCTCCGCCTCCTGGGTTCAGGCAATTCTGCTGCCTCAGCCTCCCGAGTAGCTGGGATTACAGGCACGCGCCACCATGGCCAGCTAATTTTTTTGTATTTTTAGTAGAGACGGGGTTTCACCATGCTGACCAGGATGGTCTCGATCTGTTGACCTCGTGATCCACCCGCCTCGGCCTCCCAAAGTGCTGGGATTACAGGCTTGAGCCACCGCGCCCGGCCCTTTATCAGCATTTTCATTAGGTACCTTCTGCTATCAGCTTCTTTACATGCTGTTTGGAATAAAGAGGACTGTAAATAGGGAAATAAATACATCTTGGTTCCAGTATGATGTTAACATTTATTGCTGAAAATGTGATTGATTAGCGTAACGAATTTCCATTCCTCATTATCTTTGAATCGAGCAGAGGTTACTGGGGAGACTCTCTTTCTTCTGCTAGTAACCCTTGAGCTCCTGCAGGTCTAATGCCTGGTGCATAGAGGGCATCACCAGTCTTGACCAGGTAAGTGGATGGGTGTTGACCATCAAGATGAGAAAACAGGGTGGGCACAGTGGTTCACGCCTGTAATCTCAGCACTTTGGGAGGTTGAAGCAGGTGGATCACGAGGTCAGGAGTTCAAGACCAGCCTGGCCAACATGGTGAAGCCCTGTCTCAACTAAAAATACAAAAATTAGCTGGTCTTGGTGGCACATGCCTGTAATCCCAGCTACTTGGGAGGCTGAGGCAGGAGAATCACTTGAACCTGGGCGGCGGAAGTTGCAGTGAGCTAAAATCGCACCACTGCACTCCAGCCTGGGCGACAGAGACTCTTTCTCAAAAAAAAAAAAAAAAAAAAAAGATGAGAAACATCAATAGCATCTTTCACAAGCTGAGTGATGTCAGGGTACCCTCTGCCTCCCTGGTCCTCAGTTTCCTCATGTGAAATAGAGAGAGTAATCCAGCCACAAGCTCACAGAGTGGTCGGGAGGATCTCATGATGGGTGAGAAAATGCTTTGTGAACTGCAAGGTGTAGGGCCTCACAGAGCCCATGGGCTTATGTACCCTGTGGGTAGCTGTTGGCAGTTGTTCTTTTGGGGTGGGGGAAAGATAGTCCCAAGTCCTAGTGAACTCCTGAGAGCTGGCTGGGCAGGAGGGCTGCCCTTCTGCTCTACCACACATCTGGGGGCCAGGGGCCTCTCTGTCTAGGTGCCCTCGACCCAGGATTCCAATTACCGTCAGGGGATCAATCAGCTGCTAGGACGTTTGTCTGAGGCTTACACCCTCCCCATCCACCTGACCCCGGCCTTGAACTCAGGACTGCCAGAATCCTCCCTTCCACATTCACCAGGAGAGAGTGGCCCCCTTCCCCTGCAAAGAGGGTGCCAGGTGTCTGAGCTGCATTCTGCTTGGACCATCTCCACCCTTGGAGGAACGGGATTCACAAGGCATTTCTATTTCCCTACTTGTAATTCCTTCTGGCAACCTTGGCAAGTAGGTAAGATGGTGTTCATCACTGATTTTTCTTGCAATTTTCAAGATAAGACAGCTGAGCTCACTAAAAGGGTCACAGGACTGCATTGGGCAGCGCCAGGCCCAGGACCCCAGCCACAGGGGCAGGGCCTTCCCAGCAAAGCAAACACCTCCCTTCTCCCACTTCCTCCCACAAAGTGATTGTTTTCGCCTCTTTTTTGGAGGGTGACCCAAGAACTAATTAACGGTCCTTTGTTCTATTTGGCCAGGGCAGGCCCCTCTCCCAGACTGGAGAATTCCCCAGGCAGAGGCAGGGACCCCCCAGGCCCGGGGCCCCCAGCCACCCACCCGGGACATCGCTGTCACTCTCTCCCTTTCCATGCTTCGCCATTTGTTTTGTTTTCCTCTAGTTTCCTAGTAAAGGTTGCTTTTGAAAAGCTTCAACCTCGTCTCCCTGAGTGGAGGGGAGGGGTGTTTCCACCCCTGGGCGGCTGGGGTGTGGCCCATGGCCTGAGCCAGCCAGGAGGGGCGGGAGACTTCAGGGGAAGACTTGGAAACAGCTGTGGGCCTGCCGGCCTCTCCCTCCCAAGCAGCTGCCTGCCAGGCCCTTGGCCATTTGCACTTGGCGTGGGGGACTCCTGAGGAATGAGAGATGAAAGCGCAGGGTGGCCTTTCTCCGCCTCTCCTGGGATGTTGTTAATGTACACGCATTCTGATTCTGCAGGTCCGGGGGTAAGGCCAAGATTCTGCATTGCTAATCAGCTTCCTTCCAGGTGAGGCCAGGTTGAGCACGTAATTGAATGCAGTCCCTCCACGGCACTGAGAGCAGAGGGAACCACAGCCTGTGCCCCCTGCTGACTCCCAGAGCGAGGCTCTCCCCAGCGTCGCCATCACACACATCCTAATTGTCCCTCCCAGCCTGTGAGCTGGGAGGCATTGCAACTGGCACAGGAGCTGACACTTATAAACATGCAAGTTGGTAACTCTCAGAAACACTGCCCACACCCCCAAAATAAATCTTGGCTCAGGGAACCCCAGACCCAAACCCCAGAGCAAAGCACAGGGTGACATCTGGGGCCACTCCAGGGTCTCAGTGTCTGTGGCTTCCCAGTTCTGACTTTGAATCCCCCCAGGAAGGGATTGCAGGAGGCTGGGAAGAAGGTCACAGTGGAAGGGGGTTTGGTTCCCAAATGGGAAGCAGGAGGAGGGATGGCAGTGTCCACTGTGGGAGAGCCGCCCAGGCCCCAAAACCCCTATGGGAGCCATCAGGGCAGACAGAGTCCTCCTTGGTTCTGGCCCCAGTGTGCCATGTGATTCTGAGCAGGACCACCTGTCCCCTCCTGCTCTGGAGCCATTTGGGCTTGTCCTGTTATGTCCCTCTGGATGGTCAACGGGCCATTCCTGGGTGACAGAGACCTGGGCAGCTGGTATCTTCCAGCTCCTTGAAGTCTCATGTAGGGGAATGATCACGAGAGCTGGAGGGGAAGGAGTGGTGCTAACTGGCCCTAAACACGTGGTCTCGTGGCTCTAAGCCTCGATTTCCTCTTCTAGTATGTGGGGCTTTCATGAGATTAATACTGGGGCTTCCATGAGATTAAGTGAGGAGTTGGGAGGAACGAGCTGAGATCACACAGCACCCTCTTTACTTTTTTTTTTTGAGATAGACTGTCCCCCAGGCTGTAGTGCAGTGGTGTTACCACAGCTCACTACAGCCTCAACGGATCCTCCCATCTCAGCACCTGGAGTAGCTGGGACCACAGGCACACGTCACGGTATCTGGCTAATTTTGGTGTGGTTTTTGCCCTGTTGGCCAGGCTGGTCTCAAACTCCTGGGCTCAAATGATCCACCTGCTTTAGCCTCCCAAAGTGCTGGGATTACAAGAATGAGCCACCACACCCAGCACCCCCTTTACCTCTGAGCAATCCATCTCTTTCCTTGGTGTCACCCCATGATCTAGACACCATCCACCTTGTTTTGCCTTGGCCAAAACTCCACCTAACTCCCCCCACCGACAGCAGGCACCCCCCTCCCACACCCTCATCCATCCTTCGCCTAGTCCCACCTGGCTGGTGCCCAGGATAGGGACAGTCCCGGCCATCTCCCCACATCAGTACACTCCAGAGAGCTAGCCAAGAGCAGATTCTTTATTCATTTCTCTTTTTTTCTTAAAAAAAAAGTATTCCTTTGGTATAAAAAATAAATATTTTAAATATGACATAGAATAAATAAAAATAATCTGTCAGTATGAAACATCCCCACAGGGTACATTCATCAAAGAGGAATTTGTCCCCCAAGGCCAAGTGCTTTTCAGTGGAAAGGAAGGAGGGAAACCCTAAGGCCACATGGTGGGCCCACGGAGCCGGGACGTGGGGGGACTGAGGGCTGGGTGCTGGGATTGCGGTGGGGAACTAGAGATGATTCTAAGGAACATCTGTACCATCTGCAGGGACAGGCTACCTCCTGGGTCCCAGGGCTTCCACCCCACACACTACGTCTACACTGGAGAGCTGGCAAGGCAGAACTGGACTGGCTGGGTCAGGGTGGAAGTGCCCCAAGTCAGGGACAAGGAGGAGGATGGGGAGGAGCAGGAGGAGAGACAAGTAAATAGCAGTGCTTTTTTGTTTAAATGTTTAAATAATAAATAAGGGCCCAGAGACTTCTCTCTTGGTAAACTACAAAATGCCCATCCCTCTCTCTTCCTCTGGCCCAGGCCTGGGTATGGTCCACACCAGCAGATGTAAAGGGAAGAGCAGCACAGCTCTCGGCCCGGCAGAGCTGTTTCATACAAAGGCTCCATGATTCAGTGATGCTGAGCGGAGTAGATGCTGAGCTGCTGGATGGGATCTGGAGGGAGCACTGAGGATGGGCACCTCCGGGCCAAGTCTAGGCTGGCTAGGAGAGCGCCTTGGATCCAGGGCCACCAGGTGGGCCTGGCATAGGGCACCCAAGTCCACAGGAAGATGAGGTGATGGGCGAGCAAGCGGGATCTGGTTGGAATCAGCAACTCTGGTTTTCACATGAGTTTGTCTATCTTGAAGTCTGTCTTGGGGGAGTGTAGCCAGCCCAAGCCAAGCCGGATGGAGCAGGGAAGGGGAGGCAGCCCCTGAATCCTGGACAAGGGAGAGTGTGACCCACATCTCAAGAGCCACATCCTTGTTTTGTTGTTGGGATGGACAGATGGACAACTCCTGGCTGCGCCCTCCACCCCAACCCCAGGCCTCAGGACCAGCTCACACGCTGCCCACATGCCATCCAGGTAAAGTGCTTAGAGAGCGACAGGGAAAGGTGCAAAGTGAGTGAAAAGTACCATAATTAGTACCATCGTCTTGTTGGCGGAACTTGGAGGCCGGCAGCCCACTCAGGGTTTGAGAAGAAGCCAGAATGCTGCTCAGAGCAGCTGCCCCAACTCGGCTGCCTCCCTCCCTCCCCTGCTTTCAGGCTGGAGGGCGTTTCTCCACTTGCCTGGCCCCAGCACAAAGGAAGGGATCGGGTTCCCTGCCTGGGAGCCCAGACATGGGTGGGAGTGGGCCGGAGGTGGGGCAGGAGGGCCCACAGCTTCCTGGTCTGAGTCCCAGGCATCTTCAGCCTCCCTCTCCTCCTCTTGGGAGCAGCGGGCAGCTGATGCCCCCAGTCTACCCTACCTTCCAAGGGTCTGGCCCAGCCAGGCCCTTGTGCCCTCTGTGGGTGTCCGGCCACCCGAGGCGCTTCCCCACTGTGTGCGAGCACGCTGGGTGCTGGGACAAGATTGTTGCAAGGCGCTATTTCAGAGGCAGCATGGGGACACAGAAACAGGGACAGGATGGGCCACCAGGACTGCCTTGCCCACTGCTCCAGGGGCACAATTTCAACCATGAGCGATGCCCCTCACAACACAATGTGGCGGTGCCTAAGAATACAGACCCCTGGAACCAAGAGAGTAAGGCACCTTGCCTCGCCACAAACCTGCCCAGCCCCTGCAACCTGGACCCCAATACCCCGAAGCAAGGCACAATAGCAGATGGGGGTGGATCCAGGCCCCCCACTCCCCTGCTCATTCTCTCAGATCTGACCCTTCTCTGAGCTTCACCCATAGGCTTATTCCACTTGTAACATTGTTGACTTCCAGACCAGGCTCTGCTAAGCCCTGGCCGCGGCGCCTGTGTCAGGAGCCGTCACCATATTTTGTTGAGTAGAGACCAGCGAAAGGGGAATTAACTTTGCCACTGAAAGCACCAATAAGTTAATATAAATAGGACATCATAATAAATAGAAATCATGCCGGGTCAGACGCACAGCACACTTGGAGCTCAGGGTTCCCTGAGACCCTGACTTCAAGTTCTGCTGTCCCCTTGCCCTGGGGACCAGACACGGCCTCTGGTCCCCCTCAAGTACCTCTGTGTGACCTCACAAGGCCTCCCGGGGCCTCAGATGTGCACTGCTACTCTGAGCTACTCTTTAAAGACTCTCACCCAGAGGAAGACTCTGGATCTGTCAGAACCTCTGCACCTGACTTAGCAACCTGCTCCTGCCCTACCCCCTCCACAAACCCCTGCTTCAGGTCCAGCCACCAGACCCTGGCCATCCCAGGCTGCAGGGAAGACCGAGGGGAAGAGAAGGAAGAACCCACCAAGGCTTTGAGGGCCTCTCTTCCTCCCAACGTCTTCCTTCCAAGGCCTGAAGGTGGTTTCTCTGCCTCCCCGAGAGCCTGAATGCCAGTGACCTCCTTCTAGAAACTTCTGCTTGACCGTTCCTATGCCCAAGTTCTCTGATCATGTTCAAAAGAAGACAGCCTCCCATCCCAGAGGCCCCTCTCTATCTTCCACTCACCAACCTTCTAAGGGACAAGGAGTCCTTTGAGGTCCTAACCCCTCTGGCCCACCTGAGTCCCTGCCTAAGGGGCAGCAAAGGCACAGATGGTGATCATTTGCTGGGGGCTGGTTCACGCCCCTGGGTCCTGCTGTCTTGCCCTGTGGTCAGGGCTGTTGTAGTTGACTTGTGTAGTTTGCTCACTGCACAAAGCGAGCAAGGGGCGAAAGGGAAACGCAGAGGCAGAAGTCCAGCCCACGCTCCCCAGTCCATAGTCTCCCAGAGGAAGGGGTGCCTTCTTCTAGTTCCCTCCCTATGGAAGTTTCCACCCTGCTCGGCTTCATCACAGCACAGCCCAGAATGGAGTGGACTGGCCAGGCACCCTCAGGGTCTGCCAGCAGCCCCTGTTTGGATTTAGTGATGCCCTGGGTCCTGGCCACCCTGGGACAGGCCCCCACATTTGGACACCAATCCTGAGATCCCTCAGTTCACTGTGCACTTGACAACCTCCTGCTAGAAGGCCTGAGCCAACATGCCGATGATCTGCTTATACTTCCCCAGGAGCTGACAGCCCAGCTTCTTCTTCTGGAAGACGTCCTTACCCGACGTGTCGGGGCCGTAGGTCACGTCCACGTGGGCCACGTGGTACTTGCTGCACAGGCGGCACAGCACGTTGCTAAGGAGGCCTCGCAGAATGTCGGCAGTGGTGTTGAGCTTGCTATGGAGGCTGAGGGCGCTGGGGTTGAGGATCTTCTGGTCCCGGGTGATGTTGCCCAGGGCGGTGCCGAGATACACAACTATGCGGTACAGCTCCACCAGCCTGGCCTTCTCCGTGCCATTGGCATGGAAGGGCGGGAAGTCCGTCACATTGGGGCCGCACAGCTTGTCCAGGTTGTTGGGGAATGGCTCGCCTTGGGCTGTGTACTGAGGGGTAGAGGGGAGGTGATGTGGGAGTCGGGGTCAATGTCCCAGCCCTTCCGCCAACCCTCTGGGCAAGCTCTTGAACCTCAGTTTCCCCACCTAGTGCATGGGGAGCCAGCTTCTTGCCCTGTAAGCATCTAGAACTGGCATGAGAGCCAAAAGTAACTGCAGTGTGAGTGCCCTTGCTAAAGAGCGAAGCCTGAGCCATGCAAGCAGTCATTGTCACCATCATCACCACCCTAAGACGGGAAAACTCTGTGTCTTGCTCCAGCTGGGGCACCTCACACAAGCAGCACTCACGCTGTTCCGGGGCACCCTCCACACCCGGCACCCGCAGCCCACTGTCTCTCAGCCGCACCTCCCTGGTTCCTCATGCTCATTTCCCCTGTCTCCCTTGCTCCATGCAGCAGAGCAATCATGAGACAAGAAGTGCCAGGTCCCCACCTTTGCACCCAGCTCTGCCCTCGATAACTGGGGCACCCTGGGGAAGCTTCCCTGAGGAAGTGTAGGCAGGGAGTGCCAGGAGTCTGTGGGTGGTTTAATCAAGCCCTCTCCCCATTCTCTCCTTCCAGCCCCAAAAGGTCCCGTCAACTCAGATCAGGACAGCCCTTAATGACATTTACAAGCCCTCTCCCTGCCATCCCCTCTCAGTATCCCAGGGGTAACTTACATAGAGAATAAACAGGGCATTGGCACTGCCATTGAGCTGTGCCAGTTGGCTCCTGATCTGGTTCATGAGGTTGTTGTGACATGGGTGGCGTATGGCACAGGTGGCGTTGACAGGGGTGATGGGGAGGGGGCTCCCCGCCCCATGTCTCCAGTGCAGAACCAGCAGCAGGGGCACAACTCCTGGGGACCAGCAGGAAGAAGCCATGAGTAGGAAGTCAGGAAAGGGTGGCCTGGGGTCATGGCACACTGGATGGAGGTCCAGCAAGGGTCACATGGGGGAGGACTCCTGGTTCCCCCTCGTCACCTGCCACTGTCTTCCTAGAATCTAGTCTTCACTCTGTCCCTGCGTATATTCCTCTGTTGCCCTCTCTCTACCTTAGCTCTCTCTGCTCTCTTCTGAGATGACAGAAAGACGAGGGGGCAAGACGCAAGCCATTTTTACCAGCAGGGTGCAGGTCCCAGTAGGGACTCCTGGCCAACCCACCCTTCCCTCAGGAAGGCAAAGACCCTGAGTCCCCTTGGCCCTCTGGCTTGAAGGCACCAGGCCCCAGGCCCAGCAGGCGCCAGGAGAAAGGAGATCCCTCTGTTCCCACTTGGAGGGGCGGCCCAACCCTCTGGGCAAGCTCTTGGGCAAGCTCAGTTACCCCACCTAGTGCATGGGGACCCAGCTTCTTGCCCTGTAAGCATCTAGAATTGGCATGAGAGCCAATTCCAGGTTCCTCAGCAGGGCTTCCCACCCATTGCAGCCCACACCTCCCAAGCCAGGCACCCACAGGGACCACCGGGCATGAGGGAGTGGGGAGGAGTCCTCCGCTGACCCTCCTCTAGATCCCAAACCTGCCACTTGATTCTGGCTCCCTGAGCCAATTGCCCTTAATTCTGCCCCCACCCCACATCGCCCTCTTTCTCTGCCCTTCCCTAGTGTCTCCCATCTAGGGTGCTTAAGTTCACCCCATTTCTCTCTGACTGTTCCCAGTCTCCATCCCCAAACCATCATTCAAAACTCTCCGCCCCCACAGCTCTGGACAGCCCCTGACTCCATGGCCTCTCCCCACTCATCTTGCTGTCCCTTGTCCCGGGGATTCCCCTCCCCCCAAACACAGGGGCTGAGGGAGGGAGAGGAAATGGTGCACCAGGAGAGAGAAAAGGCAAAAGGTCACAGGCAGCCAGGTGGGCGGGGAGGAAGGAAAGTGAAAGGTGACTGGAGAGCTGGGAGCTGTCCCGACAAGTCCCGGCTCGCCCCTCCCCCGGGGGGCCTGAGCGCCCCACTCCACTGGGTCCCCTTAGACGCCTTTCCAGGGCTCCGCAGAAGGCACCTGAAGGTGGTGGGGGCTGGGGTCGGCGGGTAAGTGAAGCTGGAGACCTCCCCCGGACCCCCCGTGCTGGGACAGAGGGGACACGGACAGCCTCAAGTTCGTCCCCGGTTCGACCCAGCATCCCCAGGCAGTGCTGAGGCCCCGGGATGGCTGCTGGAGGTGGGGGAGCACACCCCTATATCTCACCTAGCGCAGACCACACGCTTTCCAGACACCAGCAGATGGAGGCGGCACCTGCTCCCGTCCCAGGCCGGAGTTTGCAAGCTGCTCGCCGCCCGCGCCCCTCCCTGGGAGCAGCCCGGGACCGCGGTTGGAAAGGAGAAAGCGGAAAGAAAGAAAGAAAAGAAAAAGAGAGAGGGAGAGTGAATCTGGGAGAAAGCGAAGAGGGAAGAGCAGCCAGCGAGAGCGGCGGGAGCGAGGAGGAGGAGGAGGAGGAAGAGGAGGCGAGGGGGAGGAAGAGGAGGAGGAGGAAGGCTCGGTGCCCCCTCCCTCGCCGCCAACCTGCCGCGGGCGTGCAGCGCTGGGGACCATGTGCCCGCGCTCGCTCTGGGCGGCCACCCAGCGCCTCTGGTGGCTGCGCGGGCGCCCCAAGTGTCCGTGTGTCTACGGCGGGTGGGCGTCCGGCTCGCGCTGCCAAACGCCCCAAGTTGCCGCCGCGCCCCGCAGCGGGGACGCGAAGCCGGCGCGGGGCGGGTGTATTTACCTGCCGCCAAGACCTTCATTATGGGCTGCACTTCAGAGGGCCTTGGAGGAAACCTCAGATGCCGGCAGTTTTCAGAGGTTCATGCTCAAATGGGGAATTTGCCTGATTTATATACTGGAGCCTGTGTTGTAAGACAGAAACAGCTATATTTAGCCGGGATCCCCGTCCAGGAAGTTGTTTGAGGTGCATCATAGGAAATTATGAATGGAAGAAAGTGAGAGTGAAGGGGGGGGGACGAGTGAGGGGGGAGGGTGGGGAGAACAGACTTTTTCCCTCTTCTAAGAATCTGATTGATAAAATTATAATGAAGGCTTCGACAAAACGCCCTGTGGCTTTCCTGCCTGGCTAGTCCCAGGAGTTGTCTGAAGATGGGCATTGCCAGGAGGGGGCCCCTGGCCGAGTCAGCAGGGGTCCCAGCAGTAGGCGCCCCAGACGGCCCTGACTCACCTGGGTTTGGGGAGGTAGCGAGTCTGGACTAGCAGATGAAGGCTGCCCCCTGCGCCCCCTGGTTAGGGGGCTTTAGGGGGGCAGTGGGAGGAGGCGGGCTGGGGCTTGGCTGAGGAGACTCCAGGAGGAGGGGCCCGCGGCCGGCGTGGACTTTAGACGGTCATAAAGTGGAACTAAACATGGGCGCTGGAAGCCACCCCAGAGGTAGCCTCCTCCAATCTGCCCATTGCCATTGGGCTCGGAGGGACTCTGAGGGGAACGTGTGGCCCAGGGACCCAGAGGGTCAGGTCTTCCGCCACCACCAGTGCGCCTGCCCTGCTGACCACTGTACCTGTGAGGCTGGGGACGGAAGTGGGGAAGGGGAAAGGAAGAATGGGGGTGGGGGTGGCTGTGACTCTGTTCTGGGGGGACACTCTGGGAAGGTGCTTCTGGGAAGGTGGTCCAGCATTTCCATTCTGAAGTGGGTTGGAGAGAGGCTTGGCGAAATCAGACCCAGTGTCCTCGGGAGGCTGAGGGATGGCTGCAGGAACTGAGAAGTGACTGGTCCCTCCCAGACCTGCCTTGGAAGCCCCTTGGACCTTAGCCTCAGAGAATAATAGAGGTCCCCAAAAGGTGCTTCTAGTAGAGGCTCTAAGGCGGTGTCACATGTTCTGGCATCTTCTGAGGCCAGGTGATTTATGAATGAGGAAGGGACTAGTGGGGAGCAGGGCAGAATGAGCACAGGGACACCTCCAAGAAAGATGACAGAAAAGTACAAACAAATACACCCATGAGATGGGGGACTGCTGGCCAGACAGCATGCCGTCCCCAAAGCTGCCAGGGCACCCCTGTACCAGAAGATGATTCAGTCCCCTGGGGCCCCTTCCCAGCCCTCCTGCCTGACCCTGACTTGAGGTCAAGGTGTGTGAGTTGGTTTTCCAAGGCCAGGGAGCTCCTGCAGCCTCGCCCAGGCCCCGCCGCCCCTCTCCCTTCCTCCATGTCCCCAGCTCCTTCCTCTTGCCACATCCTGGACCTGCCCAGCCACGTGTTCTTCCTTCATCGTGCCAGGACGAGCCCTGGTGCCTGCTGCCATTCCCCACCACACGCACACCCTGCCTTATCTAGGCTCTTGCCCGCCCCCCCCCCACAGGGCCTCGGATGTGGGGTGATAAAACTGCCCATCCCAGCTGGCACTTCCCGGACTGGCTCTCCTTCCTCCTTCCTGCCCCCCCTTCACACCTTATCTCTTCTTCCATGGGCCATGGAGGGCCCTACCTGGCACTTACTGCTCCTGTACACCTGCTCTGGGGTCCTGTACACTACCAGGAGACCCACCCACCCTGGCCTGGCTCAGGCAGCCCCACGTCCTGGGATTCCCCAACTCAACCCTTCTTCTTAGCCCTCCCCCAGCATCTCCAGCACAAGGACCTGACCACTAGGAGCACATGAGATCTGCACCAGCCCCAGTCCCATCCCACATCACCCAGACCCCTGTCATCTGACTCAACCTGGCTCTCCTGACCTGGACCCCAAATCCATGTGACCAAAGGCTCACTGTGGCCTCCACCTATCAGACCCCAATTGCCTGGCCTGAGTCTCTCGCTAGGCTCAAGAGTTCTCCTGCGGCCACCCCTACAACCACGATTCTGCCCAGGGTCTCCTCTGCCTCCTTCCAAGCGGACCCGCAGGCCCTCGAACACCCTCTGGCAAGCCAGACTCCAAATCGGCCCTATAATCCACCCCCATCACTGTTTAATCTCAGCCCCACCCCACAGGAAACAGGAAGTGAGAACAGGGTCTAGAAGACACTGACACTAGGGCCACTTCACCCCAGCCCTGACTGACCCCTTCCAGTGCCTCAGTTTCCCCTCACTGTACCTGACTTGGTTTGTGCTCCCCAAGTGCTCTGGGCCCCTCGGCGCCCCAGGCCCAGCCTCCCCCTCCTGTCCATGTCCAGGCACCACCTGCGCTGGGCCTCTGGAGGGAAGGCCGGGCAGGGTCTCGGAGCCGCAAATCCGTGTGCCGCCTGCAACGTGGCGGCGGCCCCCCAGGAATCGGCCGCCCAGGCTACGCTCCAGGCCCACTTTGGTCTCTCGGAGTTTGTTTTCTTCCCTCCCTCTCTATGCTGTGTGTGTGTGTTCCCCGCCTCCGGCCAGCTCGCTCCCTCACAGAAGGCATCCTCCCTTCTTGGCTGCCTGCTCCCAGGGTCACGACCCCAGGCCCCACCCTGGAGTGGCAGCCCCAGCCCGGCCCCTTCCAGCTGTGACTTCATCCACAGCCTGTCCCGCTTCTGCAGATGGGGCCTGCTGGGGATTTGACTGGTCTCAGGGTGAGGGGGACCCCCCCCCGACAGAACCCAGGAGTTCTGTCTCCAGGTGGCTGTGCCATCCGACTCATCATTGCTCTCCAGGAGGTGCGTACACCCCCTAGCACATGCTCACTTCCTGCTGAGTTTTACCCGCCATCCACAAGTCTCTCCTGGAGTGTCACAGCTGTTTATTTTTCAGATGGGGAAACTGAGGCTCAGAGAGGTGAAGACTCTTTGTGTGGCTAACACAAAGAGTTAATAACAGAGCTAGGTCTGGAACCCGGGCTTCCATCTTGCAGGCCACAGCAATCCCCGCATTGCCTCTTGCTCTGAGTGGAGGGCGAAGAGCACAGCAGGTAAGCTTGGGCCGCCCTCCTCCAGGAAGCCTCCCCTCCCTCCCACAGCCCCGACCAGCTCACATCAGCCTTGTGCTTCCTGCTCTTGTTTCAAGTAGGGATGAGTCTTATTCCTTAATCTTTGGGAGCTTGGAGAAGGTCTGAGACTCACTTGTACTCTTCATGGCACCTGGCTTAGGGTTATACCCTGAAATGAATAGAGGGTAAGTATTTTTGGAAAGCATTTTACAGTTTCCAAAAACTGTCAGGGCCAAGCCTCTCGTGGAAAGGAGACAGAGAGGTCTGATGGTTTGAAGCATGGACTCTGGTCTCATTTAGAACCAGATTGGAAGTTTGGCTCTGCCAGTTATGAGCTGAGTGACTTTGGGGAAGTGACTGCCACCTCCTGGCCTCAGTTTCTTCATCTGTAAAATGGGAATAATGGTACCGCCATTGTGGGTTTGCTGTGAGGGCTCAGGGCTCAGCACGGTTCTGGGCACCCAGCAAGCCGACTCTCCACATATCCCACCCATGTGCTCACTTCCCTGTGGAGCAGGGGTTCTTGTCCCCATTTGACAGAGGGGGACACTTGGATCCACCCCAGGGGCCTGAGCGGGGAACACTGGGCAGGAGCAAGACCTCTCAAGCCTCTGCTGATGGTAAATCAAGGCAAGATACCCACATAGCTTCCAGCTTCAAGGGTGCCCCAGAAAGATCAGACAGGTTGTGGGAGGGGCTAACAGGGCAGTGTGCTCACTCTCCCAGAGCCCCCTTCCTGGCCCCTCGCCACCCCCACCCCAAGCCTGATCTGAGGACTGCAGCTGACTTGGCCTCACCGCCCCCAGAAGCTGATTCACCCCCAGGCCCCATCTGAGAAGGAAGGAGACATAGCTCAGCTCTAAGGGGCTTGAATCACCAGCCGCCCCCTGCAGAGCTCTGGGGTTGGGGGGGATGCGGGGGTGGGGGCCAGCCCCCTGCCTGTCTGTCTCTTTCCTGGACCCTAGGGCTCTCAGGAGAGAGGGCAGCATGGCAGTGGCATGGGCAGGGGTGGGGTGGGAGGTCAGGCATTCTGTGTGGGCAGCCAGCAGCAGTTACTCACCAGGTAAGCAGCTCTCCGGGCATTGGGGAATTCCCCAAGACCAGTGACCCAGAAACAGCGCTCCGGGCCCCCCCCCAAGCTGCCCAGGCTGGCCCCCTCCTTCCTTCTGTATCCCCTCAGCTATGATCTCAGTTTTCTGAAAACCCAGCAGCAGTGGCTCTCAGCCTGTTGCCCTGATGTTGGTACTTGGGAAATGAGCAGAGTCCTCAGGTGGGCCTAGGGAGGAAGCGGTGGGGGGGAGTGGGGGAGCCAGAGGGTGGGTCCCAGGCCCAGGGCTGGTGAGGGGTTGCCAGAGCAGACTGGGGAAGCTCAGGAATGCCTGGCACAGCCCAGGTAATTGGGCATCCTGGCCAAAAAGGCAAGAGCACCGCACTCTTCAGTGCTTGAGGAGTGAGAATGTGATGCCCACAGCGGACTGTGCCTCCATTGTTCTCAACCCAGTGGAGGGGGTTCAAATCCCACCTGCCCCACACACCAGCCATGTGGCCTGTGGCAACGGGCTTCCTCTCTCGGAGCCTCAGTTTCCCCTCCAAAAATGAGGATGCTGTCATAACAGCTTCGTGGGGCAGTCATGGAGATGTTAGTTGGGAAACTCGGATAAATGCTAACACGTGGGAGCCATTCTAATCAGATCTGGTTGTGGCGGCAGCAGGAGCTCGAACCCCAGAGCGAGTCAGGGGCTGGGTCCCGTGGTCAGTGCAATGGAGTCTGAGAGGCAGGGCAGCAGGTGGTTCCTGGGTCCTCTCAGTTCATGCAGCTTGATGTAGGTTTTGGGAGAGTGGGTAGCATCTCAGAGCCTTGGTGGCGTGGAAATAAGCAGTGACACCCTGATCTACGGGCCCTGGAAAGCCCAGCTGTCTTCTGGGGACTCTTGAGGCCCAGGCGTGGGACCTGTTGCCTGTCCCTTCTCACCCTCACCTGATCCAGTCTCTGGCAGTGACCAGCAGTATGCC